GTGGGAAAGTCAAGCCTTAAATACCATTCCCAATAGTGTTTTCAATACTATGTGGGATTGAGCATTACCAACACTTGTTTCCAATACAATGTGATTATTCAAGAAACAATTAACAATCATGCACCTTAAAACAACTAAATTAGCAACCAATTGCATTAGTATTATACGATTAAATATGTCATAATTAAAAGTCAATTTACAATCAATCGCGATTATTGCAATTTTAAGCAAAACATTCAAAAATAATATCACTATTTAAGGCTCAATCCCACATAGTATTGGGAACAAGTGTTGGTAATGCTCAAATCCCACATAGTATTGGAAACACAATTGGAAATAATATTTAAGGCTTGGCTTTCTCACTTCCTTGTTGAGTGATAGAGAACAAGGGGGACTCTCGCGCGCCTCCACCGCAGCCGCCGCCGTCCGTCTCGTCTCGGGTCGTGGTCGTGGTCGTGGTCGTGGTCGTGGTCGTGGTAATACGTGTCTTCGACACGTCCGCGCGGATACTATATTTTTAGAGAAACAAAATATTTTTTTTTAACTATCACAAGAATTTTGACAACTGTAGACTATCGCAACGAATTTGAAAAATCGCAACGACAACTGTAGACTATCGCAACGCGAAATGGAAAATCGCAACGCAATTTTCAACTATCGCAATGCGAGCTGGAAAATCATAACGCGAAATGAAAAATCGCAACGCGAAATGCAACGCGAATTTGCTATAGTGGAGATCGTAATGCGAATTAGAGAATTAGAGATCGCATTGCGATTTTGTTGGTCATTTTCGCAAATCTAAAAAAAATTGGTCAAAATCGTATATTATCTGAGATTTTTGGTCACTGAGGTTATTTTCTCTTTTTAAAATAGTATCTCACACAGATTTATTAGAAAAATATTTCCAGAATAATAAAAAAAATACTTGAAATAAAAGTTATCCTCCTCATGGAATCAAGCTCAAGTGGCAGGGTTAATTGGGCTGATGATACCCTCGTGGTCCATTGTAAGGGATAAAATAATTCAGAATTACTTCCCTCAACATCTCTAAATAATATCTTTTATTCTGTATTAGCAGTCAATAAACTGATTTACATCAATACTTTAAAAATTAAATATAAAATTAAAAATTAATATAAAAAAATATCATAATTTAAAGACAATTGATCTAATTAATTAAATAATTCACAAACATGACTTTGAAAAAGGCCGAATTAGATCCGATCGGTTAACAGATATGTTAAAAGATATGGTTCGATTAATAAATTCCTCCATGTTTTTAAACATTCTTTTAAAAATTTAATTGACATGTATCGAATACAAAAACATATAATACATTATATTAATTGTTTTTATAATTATATTTTGGATAAACTATGCAAATAGTCCCCTATGTTTTCAGTTTGATTGATTTTACTCAATAATTTAAAAATTAAGGGGAATGATCTCTAACGTTATCGATCCGTTCGATTTTAATCCCTAACATTATCGGTCTATTCGATTTTATTCCCTCAACTATGTTAGAGACTTAAACAAAAGGGGGTTAATGAAAATTAATGGCTAATGGTCTAAAATCGAACAGATTGATAATGTTAGAAACCATTTCCCCTTAATTTTTAAATTGGTGACCAAATTCATTCATACTCTAAACATAAGGACTATACACATAGTTTACCCTTATATTTTTACATTCAGGTACGATTAAACCTTAGATAAAATAGGGTAAAGTACATAAATAGTCCCCAAACTTTTAGGGTGCTTGCATTTTGGTCACCTAACTTTTGAAACTTGTAATATAGTCATCGAACTTTTAGTTCATTTTCATTTTGGTCCCTACAGTTACCTTTGTTAGTTTTTGCTGATTTAGCACTTAACCATGTTAACTTTTCTGACGTGGTTTTTTTTCTTTTTCTTTTTTCTCCTCTTCTGTTTCTTCTTCTTCTTCTTCTTCTTCTTCTTCATTCTTTCTTATTTTTCTTCAAAGTAATCATCTTCAGCTTCAAAACTCGATTCCAAAATCGACCCAACATGCAGGAGGGATGGGAGATAGCAATTATCAAACTACAAAGACGTCGCGGTTTGGTTTGAAGCACAGTAGGGGCGAGATCGTTGAAGGTGGTTCCAGTGGTGGCAATGCAAGGTTGAATCCACCATGGCAGGTAAGAAGGGTGGCAACATTGGTGGAGAAATAGGACACGTGCTTGGATTGGTTATGGCTGTCGTAAGAGCAACTGTCATGGTCAGTGAGGAAAACGCTGTAGGTTGTAGCTGTAGGATCCAGGAGCGGTGGATAGGAGATCGAGGAATGAGAGCTTGGTTCTTGGTAGAGCAGCATGGACACGACATTCATGGTGGTACTCTTGGCTCCTCCGCCATCATTGCCTTGAAAAACTAGAAAATTGTAAAGGTTACTATTGAGCTTAGAAAAATAAAGAACAAATTAGTGAATTTGTTAGAATATCCTTAGTGTGAAGTTAAGGCTAAACTAATTTGTTAGAATATGTTCTTTATTTTTCTAAGCTCAATAGTAACATTTACAATTTTCTAGTTTTTCAAGGCTAAACTAGAATCACTCCCCTTTTCAACAAATGATAACTTGTGTAAACAAGAAGACCTCTCCAAGTAGGTTTTACAATAATTTAAGCTCACAAAGAATAAATACAAAGATATTCAATAAGACTCAATACACTATATATAAAAGAAAATGAAAATAAGAATGAAAGACTATTTTCTCTTGATCTTTAAGCTTGAATAGGTGTAGTAACTTTCTTCAAGTGTCCTTAGGTTGTTTTTATATGATAGAATGAGCTTGTGGTTGTTTCTAACCGCTGTGGATGTTTTGGAGATGTTGGAAGCTTTTAATCCCCTCAATTTTAGCATTTCTGCATAGTGGTTTCGAAACTACTAGATAGGGTTTCAAAACCCTCTTAAAAAATATGGTCGTTGAAACATGAGGTTTTGAAACTAGACAGTGGGTTTAGAAACCAGTCAGCGGTTTTGAAACCATGTATAGAGGGAGTTTCAAAACCAGTTAAGGGGTTCAAAACCTTACACCAAGAATTGAATATTTTGACTTATTTTGAGTTTTTAAACATACTCTAAGGTGTAGATCAAGTCAAAAATACTTGGAAAGTATTTTTTAAGTTTTGTGGAGCTTGAATTACTTTTGAATCATTTGAACAAATTCAATTAAGTCTAAAAATATTTTTACTCTTATTTGTTATATCAAAATATAGGTTCAACATATTTTGTTGGTTTTCGAACATATGTGTTAGACAAAACTGTGGTTAAAGGAGGATTCATTTTTCATTCGTTCACTTCGGATATTATTCAAGTTTTCCTCCTAGGGATGACAAACGGGCGGGTCGGGTGTGGATACCCCATCCCTCATCCTCATACCCACCTACTATTTTTCAATCCACCACCCGCCCACCACCCATGATGGGTACAGATTTTCAAATCTACACCTGCCCACGCGGGTACATTTTCAAATCCATCCCCACACCCACTACCCACTAGCGACATACCCATCTAGACCCGCCTGACAACAAACTAATGAGATGTTGGAGTTGGTTCCCAGACAGTTCGTGATGGGGTAGCAGCGCATGCTTCAATTTGTCAGAGGAGTGGCTCTACGAATGTTATGGAGACAGATTATAGGGAGCATGTAGTCGCAGAGTTGGATTGTTGTGTTGCTTTCGATGTTAATGCTCATAGTGCGCCTAATATGGGTTTTGAGGGGCTAAAGAACATGAAAACTGTTGTTTTTGATGTTAATGCTTATAGTACGGCTAATTTGTATTTAGATGGGCAGCATGGGCTAAAGAACATGGAAAGTGACGTGGTTAGTGGGATTATGGGTTTAATCAAAGAGCCGAATATTTCCCTAATTAAATACCAGATTAAAGACTAAATATCCTTAATATTTAGTTAAATTATATGTTATATATTATATAATATTAAAATTTATAAATTAGTCTCTAAAATTACACCTAAATTCATAATGGTCCAAAATTTAATAGATATTTAGCTGGGCGGGCAGATGTGTGGCGGACGGATGCGGGGCGGGCGGATGCGGGGCGGGTAATGTCTCAAACCCATTACCCGCCCACCACCCACGATGGGTACCACTTTATAAATCCACACCCGCCCACTACCCGCTAAAATTATACCCATCCCCGCTCTAATTGGAGCGGATACGGTGCGGAATTCACGAAACCGTACCCGTTTGCCATTTCTCCTCTATGTTTGATGTTTTGGGAAGTCGAAGTGATCTATCTCTATATGTCGTTGGTTCGATTGTTCATGTTATTACTTATCGGAACGTCAATGATCAATCACTGATATATTTCATTTACGTAGACATAAATGTATTTATCTTGTATACATATAACAAGAGGTTAATAATGTTTTATTTGATCAAGGAATATATTACTGTTGTACGTTAAAAAGAAATTATACTCTAGTAATTACTTAAAGAATATCAAACATTTTACCATTGATTAATTAATTTTTTCGTGGCTTTGTATTCCTCCGATTGGATTCACAATTTCATCTATATTCACAAGACACAGATTTTATAATTATTTAAATGGTATCAAACACTTTATCATAGACCAATCAAATGTTTATGATTTTACATCCCTTGGTTAAATTCACAATTTCATATTTACTACTAAAATGATATCACGTTTTAACATTGACCCACCAAATCTTTGCGACTTTGTGTTCTTTTCATTGAATACATAATTTTATCTATATTTATAATAATCAAACTCAAAATATCAAACATTTTATCATTGATCCACTAAACTTTTACTATGTTCCATTAACAATGTCTAAGATCGTATATATTTGAACATAGTTACATATCCGAGCAAATCGAACATGAAAGAACATCATAGGACAACATTAACAACAGCAGAAACAAAATGGCCTGAATTAAATACATATATAAATAGGCAGACACCTGAAAGATAAAACCCTCCTACTAAACTAAATTGATTCTAAACTAAACATCATGACGCAAAAGGATCAATCAGCTTTGGAGAATCCGAAACTCTCGACGCCGAATTCATATGGCGCCGTCGTTCTCGGTGGCACCTTCGACCGCTTGCACGACGGACACCGCCTCTTCCTCAAAGTAAAACTAACATACCCATATATCTTTCTCCCTGTTTTTTGATTGCTTGTGTTCTTGATCCGAATTTGAATGAGAGAAACATCTATTTTTTTTGGGAATAGTCAGCAGCGGAGCTTGCCAGGGATCGAATCGTGGTGGGTGTTTGTGATGGTCCCATGTTAACCAAAAAACAGGTTAGTTTTTTTTTGCGTACTCTGAAATTATCGAAACCCTAAACTAGGTTGATTGGTTGAAATAGATTAAGGCAAAAGACCTTTTATTAGCTGTAGTGACCCTTCTTTCATTTATATAGTTCGCTGAATTGATTCAACCCATTGAAGAAAGGATGCGTAATGTTGAGAATTACATTAAGGTATGAAATGAAACCGTGGAGTATTTTTATCAGAGAAGACCATGAAAGAGTATTGGGGTTCAGTCATTTGATGATTTTGTTTATTAATAATTTTGCTCATATTTATGCAGTCTATCAAACCAGCGCTGGTAGTTCAAGTTGAACCTATTACAGATCCCTATGGACCTTCAATCATTGATGAACATTTGGAGGCCATTGTTGTGAGGTTTGCAACTGATCATCTAAGATATAAAGGAATCAATTTTCTGAAATAAAAGAGAGTTGTTTGATAATTTAGTTCACATGAATGCTTACTTTGCTTTCTGGATCTCGTACTTTGAACTGCAAAAAATTGTGTTGTCTTTTAAAATCCCATTTCTACATTTTTCCTTGCAGTTTAAGTTTTATTTTTCATTTGAATTAACCCTGTGGTGAAATGGTGATTCATCCATGTTCGAAAAAGTGGCAACACAAGAGCTGAACTACTTTATATTTACCTTTGATAACGCTAGTGGAATCCATCTTTGCCTAACTGCAGTAATTTCTTGACAGCAAGGAGACATTACCAGGCGGAGTCTCAGTTAATAAGAAAAGAGCTGAAAGAAGCCTTTCTCAGTTAAAGGTTTGTTTTTGTCTGGTTGATTTCTATGCTGTAGGTTGGTTTTGCACTTAATTTATTTTGAAGTAGAAATAATACTAATTCTCTTTAGAATTTCACAAAGTTTGTCAAAGATTACGTCTTGAGATGGTGACGTTTTCTGCAGATTGAAGTTATAGATCTAGTTTCTGAAGGATGTAGTGGAGGCAAGTTGAGTTCAACAACATTAAGGAAGCTTGAAGCTGAGAAGACCAAAAACCAAAGTCTACCACATACATGATGATAATAAACTGATTTTCTATCAATGGCTGCAACAAAGGTTGTCATATTTTCATGTTCTTTCTTTGTGGAACTCCAACAGCAAAAATGTGAAGTATGAAAGTTTCTTCTTCTCTGAAGTATCAGTATCTTTAGATGTCTTTCGGCCAGCAATTATAGGACCACCATTTGAATGCACTTGAATGGTAAATTCCTTACATTGGCTATGATGAGAATATGTTCTGATGCTTTAACTTGTGGTTCAAAATTCCTTTTCTATAGGAGATAGATTGACGAAAGGTCAAATAAGGACCACACAAAGGAAATTTAATGATGTTCATATATATTTGAAGTTGCCAAAAACCTTATCCTCAAATATAAATTAAATTGAAGAAAGAAACTACTTTTTATCAGCCTTGTCCTAAAGTCATTGCCTTACAATAAATGACACCCATCAGTTTTTGATAGACTATATACGCCTACTACCTTCATGTTCAACACCATGATTGAAGGATACTCAGAGAACAACAAACCAGAAAAGGCGATTCTTCTACATCATCAAATGCCGTATCTTTTAGTTCCACAATTCTTACAGTTTTCCTTTCCTGCTTGAAGTGTGTTCGAGTTTGTCAGCTGTGTAAGAAACCGAGCAAATTTACCCACGTCATAAATTTCGGTTTTGGCTCAAGAGGTTTATGCTGCAAATTCCTTGCTCCATGTCTATGGATCATCCTGCAGTATTTAAGTTGTGTGTCTGATCTTCGACCAGGTCTCGGAACGAGAGACGACGTCTGTTGGAACTCAATGGTTTACACAAACGATATAATAGTTCAAGGATATCGCATCTACTATTTACTTAGTAAAGTAAATATATTGTCACATGGGAATGTTCAAACCTATCATATACAACTATCAATCGTAGAGGCTATCACCACACCGAGTCAAAATATTTTTGATAAAATCATCAATTTCATTTATGTGGGGGTGTTGGAAAATAGTGAATTTAATTGATGGATTTAATATTTATAATAAATTCATATTCCTTTTGACTATTACAAATTAAAAGATAATTTTAATTTGAATGTTAGTAGGATAATTACCCTTTGAATATGTCAATTTAAAACCATATTTGTTATCTTTTTAACATTGAATATTAATGGTAATTATATACTTTTGTATATTTCAAATTAAAATAATATATATTTAAGTTTGAATAGTAAAAGGAGTTTATCTTTTGAATATTTTAAATTAAAGGATATTGTTATCTGTTTAAAGTTAATGTTAAAAGATATTTTTTAGATTAAATCTCTCTTGAAAATCCCCTATAAATAGTGAGTTAACATGCTACGAACGCAAGTTTCACACCTAAGAATTCAATAACGTTTACTTTCTTGGAAAATATTTTCTCTTCTACTAGTTTTCCGGTGATAGTCAAAGGCACTGATAGTTCATAATCTCTTAAGGAAACTGTGTAGTGACATGCTTCAATTGTTTCTGATCGATTATCAAAATAAAAGGAGTGTTTTTATTTCTATTTATTTTTTATGTGATTATAAAAAAATTTAACTTCTTTATTTTATTTTTCTCATGATTGATTTCATCTCAAATTGTTATTTCAGATAACAATATCAAGATAGAATAAATTCATTCTATCCCTTTATTTCTTTTGATTATAATGATATTTGTTTATTATTATTTTCTATATTATTCTCGGATTATAACTTTATTTTTTCTAACAGATTTTGTTCTCTTCACTCTCAGACAACCTTCCACATTTCATGTTCAATGTCCTTCTGTTCTCCAATCGAGATGTTAGGCCACATTTATTACTATCTAAGTTTTCTTTTTTTATGTATTTGGAAGATCATATATAATCATAAAATATGTATTCGAATAACATATATTTTATGAAAGTTTCGCTTTTAGATGTTTTGATTAACCGATATCGAATAAAAAATCCTAAGTTCCTTAATAATTAGTTGATATATGCACTTGTGTGCTCCAAGCTCCGGTTAGAGGTGTTTAAACGGTTAATTCGATCACCGATCGAATTGAAATACTATTAACTGAATTAATCGAATAGAATTTGTTTTAAAATATTAACAGAACCGAATAAAGTTCGGTTATCTCAATCGATTAACCAATTTTTTTTTATAATTTTTAATTAGATTATTTTGATTATAACAAAGATATTTTTTATTGGTTTAAAATTTAATTAGGCATTGATAATTTAATGAATTTAATGCTATTAAAAAAAATAATTCGATCTTAATTCTTAATGGGTTTGAGTTTAAAATATGGATTTAATATATTTAATCATTTTAATTCATTTGGTTAATTAACCAAAATAATTTATTTCGGTCAATTAATTCAATTAAAACCGACTGTTTGAGCTTAAAATATGGATTTAATATATATAATATATAATGTAGTACCAACTGTTGATGTTCTCATGGAAACTTGAGAAGCAAGCATAGGAGATTCTAGTACGCTCTTGATTCTTTTGGTCGTACTATTACTTTGAAGCAACTCAGCATACATCAAACAAACACATACCCGTATCCGATAAGGACTATAGATTTTAAGCATATCACATATAGAACTGAATGGAAGTGGCAAAATCACAAAATTAGCTTCATGGTAAACAGATAAGAAAACTGATATCGAAAAGGGAGACAGATCCACCAGGTTCACCGAGAGAGTCGGAGAAACGACAAGAAAACTGTTAACGGCCTCCGTAATGATATCAAGAATGTTAGGTTATATCCTGATTGAACCGTCTTTTGCTTTTAATATTACCAAAGTGAGTTTGGAGATTTTCAGGCAAGTTGGGCAGCTGGCTGGGCCATTTCTGTGATTAGCTCCCACCCTTTTCACTCATCTCTATCACCTTTGTTGCCCCCTCAACAATGACTTAAAGTTTCCAACACAATGTCTCCTCTGTCATTTTCTATTCCCATCAGCCTTTTTTAGGGTAGTCTTAGTGTGGTCCTTTATGCTTTCTCTCCTTCCACAGCCAAGAAAGACATATCCATATTCATTGCATTGGGCAAACATACTGACAAGAAACATATCTTTAGTCGTTATACAATGCAAAAATAGAAAAAATTATGGCTGATGATATAGATGATATTTTATTAGAATAGTGGGACTATACATGAAGAACAAGAGTTTGTTCATCGAGTAATTTGATGGAATTTTCCTAGTAATACAGTCTTGTAAGGATTAAGATGGCGAATAATCAATAATGTCATAAAAAGACATCTTCATCTTGATACTGCAAGGGTTTCAGGAATGGTAATTATCAGAATCATTGGAATAGTGGCATTTGTAATTGTATTCCCTCTTGAAGTTTGATATGATTCCAGGAATAGTATCTGCAGAAAAACCAGTGAACAACATATTTTAGCTCATGATTAAGGAATAAATAAACTGAAAATGGCAGATGTTTTTGCTAGCTGGAAGAAGGGACAAATATGTTTTTATATATATATTATGTAATGGATTATGTTTATGTGCAAGTATGTTGCACCGCCTCTTCATCTTTCATGTAGCGTCTGTGTCGGACGTATATCCAAACACGTGTCGAGTGCGAATGTATCCAACACTTAAAATGGATTCCAAGTAACATAGATGAAAAAATAATGGAATTGGGATGGAAATCTAGTGTAAGATTGCTAGAGCTACCTGTTGATGTTGGAGGCAAAAATTAGTTGATCATCTTTAATAAAACCCCGTATTGTACATGTTGGAAAGACCTTGAGGATCCATGTTCCAAGTTGAGAATGGTTGGAGTTGCTGCAATATGAGAGGCATTTCAGAACATCATACTTGAAATCAGGAAAGAAGAGTAGTTAAAATTATAAAAGTAGGAAAATTACAGTCATGCTGGATGAGCTAGAAACAGAAGCACTGCAATTCCTTCAGTTTCTGTTTGGGGAGGAAGCATTGATTCATTTAACATGCAATTTACAGATTCTTTTTGCAATGGATTCAACTGTAAGTAGGGCAAACCGGCCATTTCCGGTAACTTATCGGCTGCTGGAAAATTGGCGACATAAGCAGGAAACTTCATTGCATGATTATTTGAGCACAAGTCAGCCATAAAAGAAGCACTTGTTATGCAGAGTGAGAAAGGACAATTCAGAGTCTGTTTTCTTACCTCTTTCATAGGTAGGTTTTCAACACTTGAATTTAGAGCAGCAATTTTCATAGACAAGAACTGCAGGTATATTAAATTACAACTTGATAAGCTTAACAGAAAGATAATGTACTAAAATATTCATGGCTAATAATATCATTAATATTCATCTTACCTCAACTTGTCTTTGGAGAGATTGAACATAGTTGATTATTTCATCAAGCATTCCAGCTTTGCCTGTGATTTTATTGCAACAAGGGACTAGATCTTGCAAGCATTTCATCTTCTTACTGATCTTTCCCTTCTGGCCTGTACATTACAGTCAAGATAAAAGGACATACCAGTTAAATACTAGTAAGTTTCCTTCAGTTATTTCAACTTGGAAACTAAAAATTCGAAAACCTTTTCGGCCTTACTCTTTCAGCCAGGCTGTGACTGTCCGTAGCCTGGCCGCGACGTGCTCTTACATGGATGTAATCCGGTTTCTGAACCTCAGAAGCCTTGGAGTTCTCCTTTGAAGAATTCCGGAAATTTCAGTACTGCATTTTGCTTTCACCTCAGATTCCCCTTCCCCTTTAATCCTCTTATCTTGCTTTTGTGGTCTGCAACAGCCTGTACATCAAGAGACAAGGCATTGATGACACTATATAGGATTGCTTTAATCTAGTAATTAGCAGGACTTGCACAAAGCAAATCTTTACCACAGTTCATAACCTTGGTATCATAATGATCAAATTTATACAGAAGTTCACATTCATAATAACCAGAAACTTGAAAGAAAACGAGAATAAATTTGGAGGAAAGACAAAGTAACAAACCTCAGCTTTTCTCTTGTTCAAGCTCTCTCTGCCACTGCCAGTGGCGGATTCTATTTTCTCTAGAATCAAATCCTCTCTTTCCTCTTCCATAACAGCAGTATTGAGAGCTGTCATCTGACGTCTAGAAGTCCGAGAAATACAGTAATCTGCCGCAGCCTCAGGCAGCACCAAATCCAACTTTTCACTGTCACCAACTCTGGTCCA